CCGTTAGTTTGTTATTTGTTCTTTTGTTTTCAAATGGAAGTATTCTTTAAGCACTTTATGGTGTACAAAACAAAACTGATAGCAAATTGTTGGTAAAATCCCAGTTGTTTCACTTGTGATGGTCCCAGGAGTCAGGCTTAGTCAGTGGAGGACTTCATGGGTGAAGGGAAAGAGGGAAGAGGATTGGAAGGATCCTAGGTCTCTTCCCTAACAGTTCTCTTGATGCTTTGTCAGTATGGTTTTTTATTCACTTTTTCTCCTGCTCTTTACATCTTTACTTTTATTTGCACGTTCTTATTTGGGGCTAGCTGTATATCTGGAAAGGAAGAGGTAGGCTATGCCTTTGCACAGAGGTCTTGAGGAAAGAACTGAGACTACAACATTTATTTCTGCTGGGAAGGAAGAAATGAGGAGACTATTTTTTATCTTTCTGATCCCTTACTGTCAGATGGGAGTGTCTCCTCCAGATAATTTTTGTTGTGTTACTCTAAAGTAGTAGGCATTTTATGTGCAACACAGCTGTATTTTTAGGTATAAAGCAAGGGATTTTGTGCTCTACATGCCTAAGCTAAAGAAGATGATTTATTGTTTTGTTAAACAATAAATAGTAGTTTTGTCCTCTACTGCTTGTTTTCCATACAACCATTTCTTTCTAAGACTATCATCCCATACACCAATTGTGCAGTTGTTGTATGTGTGTTAAGGATGGAGGAACAGGACTTAGAAATGGGATTCTATCAGTTTGTTAATTTGCATCCTATTTTGGGTTTTTTAAAAATCCTTTGGTGTTGTGACTAGCTTTGGTTTGTGTTGTGGGTACCTTGACATGCAGCATTGTGCACCTTAGTATTGTGTCCTGTAGGTATTAGATTGAGCCAAAGGCATCATCTTTGGTGGAAGAGATGGGAATAAAATCTCCATGCCTTGAGGCTGTAGGGCTTGTGCAGTGACCCTGTTGTTCTAGGAAGATATCCAGTGTGTGAGGAAGCGGGGGGATCACATGCATGTGTAATTTCCTTTTCTCCATATTCCCAAAAACTCTCTCTGTACTTGTACTCCCTGAAAAGCACCTCCTTTTCTGCTTTCATGAAATGCAATTTATGCTATTCTGACTTGTAAAGCTGTCCAGAGAAGGTGTAAAGCGGCAACTGTTGCTCACTGGAATATAAAGAAATATTTGATAACTGTGCCAGTAGCAGCAGATTAAGCACCTCAGTGGTTGTCACTGAACTATTTATTCAGTCATGGCATGCTTCCACACTTGAAGTGCCACAAACACGAAGATGAGAGGAATCCTGCCCTGCTCTTCTTCATTCAGTAATCCTTCCTGGAAGCTACAAAGTCAATGCAGTAGTCATTGGCCAAGGGAAGTGCATAACCTTCTAACTTCCTGCATGCCCATTCCTCTTTATGCACTTCTCTTTGGAAATGCGGGGGTATGATCATCACCAGTTTGTTTTGGTTTTGTAATGTATTTTGTATTCCTTTTTGCCAGCTGGCTTGCCTTTTGCAATTCTCAGTTCACGACGTACCCCCTTCCAGAGAGGCGTTTTCTGTAGTGATGAATCCATCCGGTATCCATACAAAGAGGACACCATTTCTTATAAATTATTAGCAGGAATAATTATTCCTTTCAGTGTAATTGTTGTAAGTTAAACTTTTCTTCATTGCTTTTGATTTCAGTGGGGGTGGGAAAGAGGGAGGAGGGGTAATCTGTTTGTACAGATTTACAAAACTATTCTGTAAGATTTCTCAACCTTAAAATAATGTCCTTAGGCCAGGTGCTAAAGCAGTAGAAATGGTGGTCTGGCAAGAATAACTAAAAGGTTTTCTTTAACTGAAGCCAAAGAGCTAGAATTATAGAACAGCAAAATAACACATTAGAACTTTAGAACGTTAGAACCATGATGGCTTAATTCTGTCATCTGAGAGATAAAAACTTCTTACCATATTTGTTGAAAATATGTTGCAAGTCTTTTTATTTCAGGACCTGCTACATTCAGAATATCAGTGTACATGACCTATTAAGTCAGCATTTTTTATCTGTCACAAAATCTTTGGGAATACTTTTGTAAGTGGAAGTGTAACAATAGGTACTAGACTATTTAAGAGAAAGATTATGCCTTCCATCGAATGTTATCAAAAGGATAAACAGAATAAAAGGAATAAGTAGGTGTGAAGTTCTTCCCTGGATATTTCCCTGAAGGTCAGGATAAAACCCTGGGCTCATTTGTACTTAAATTACCACAGGGGCTCACTTCATACTGCACCTGACTGAAAACAGGGTATCTTTCTTCTTTCCTCCTCTTCACACCAGATCAGTGAGCTGAGCAGATTGTTTCTGTGACTACCAATTTGGGCTCTTGTTCTGACCACAGCTCCTAGCTCAGCTGACCTGTCTCAAGCATATAGTGACTCTCTATCCCTAATATTTAATTATATGCTGTCAGCTGAGATAACCTAATAGCTTACTATGTATGGACAAAAATTGAGGTTCTACTATTACCCTGCTTGTTGCCACTTCTTGTGGCTTGTCTGAGCCAGGATCAGCTGGTGAGGCTCCTTAGCCTGGCAGAAGACAGCAGCTTTCCTTGACTATGTGGAGTGCAAATGGCTCTTGGAAGAATACCAGTGCTGGGGCAGAAAGTGGCTGGGACATGCCCTCATGAGCAGAGGGGACAGCTGTACCTCTTCAGTTAACCATTTCATGTCCTAGGTCTGATGGGGACTGCGCTCCAGTTCCTACAATGGCCCTTCATCAGGGGCTCAAGATCCCTGTCCAGATGTGGTAAAAATCTTCAGTCTCTACTGATGGTTCTGTTGGGTGGCATCCAAACTCATCAGAGCTACACTTTGAGCAGAGTTAAAGCCTTCTTATGCCAAATAAGATTTTTAGGCATATAAATATTTATCCAAGTATGTTTAGGATCCAAAAATGAAAAGGCACAGCTAAATGTAATCCTCAGTACTGACCAGCTGTTTCTCTGGGTTAATAGGTTTAAGTCAGGAGGGTTATTATGATAATCTAACTCTGCCTTGCATAGGGACTACATGGATTTTTAGCAAGGTTCCAGCATAAAGGTCAACTTACAGCTCATATTTGCTTTTGGGTGTAATTTTTTTACAAGCATAGAAATGCGTTCTGAGAATTGAAACTATGACTTGCCTGGTTTCCCTCTTCTTGGAAAAGCCGCATCAGAAATAGAAATGCTTCTCAAACAGATGAAATTTTGGGGGGGAGGAGGGTTTGTGTGTTCTGTTAACTAGCAAGTTGTTTATGCTAATCATCCTGCCTTTAAGATAAGGCTATTTATTTTTTTCACCCTGTTACTACCTTTGGGTAGTCAGTAATACTTGGGAGCATCAGTGCTTGGTAACAACTGCAGCCCATATAGCTTATCTCATTTCTAGAGCAGTTAAAACAGCTGAGTGAGAAAGAACAGAATAGAGCATGGAAAGATTGATGTATTGCCCTCAGTACTTGGCTACCAGCCATTTGCAGTTCAGGGACTTCCTGGGTGAGAAAAGGCTCCACTGAATATAGTTTCTTAACAGATATATTCCCTTTGAATTAGTCCAGTCTCCATTTGAGCCCATATGAATATTTAGCTAACAAAATTTCTTTTGCAACATCAGGGACTATAGTTTAGTTGTGAAATCAGGCTTTTCTGTCAAGATTGCTTCATAGTCAGATGGTAAAAGCAAATATTGGTGTCCTTTACTCAATGCTTAGTCAGATTATTGGAAACGAATATTCTTTGATGTCTGTCCAGTGTAGTAATTGCACTGACATCAACTAATTTTTTGTTACCTGAGATAAGTGATCTTGCAGGTTTTACAGCAATGTTTTTTGAAAGGGATTCATTATGTACCATTATTTATTTATTTGTGCTCAGCTATCTTCCTTAAGAGATTAGTTTCTGCACTAGGTGTCTATGTACTTTACTGAAAACTTCCTCAGCTTTAGTCCATGTTCTGGTATTTCTTTGCTTCAGTCAGTGTTTGGGTATGGTGGAGGTGTAAAGCATCAGTGTCATGCATCTGACGGTATTGTCTGTTTGCCTTCATGTGCAAAGCCTCTGACAAGCTGTCACTCTTTGTGCCTGGGTGGCAGTGTCTAAGTAATGGCTTCATTCACCAAAGCACTGCTTTGCTGGGATCCAGGACCTGGCACTCTTAAGTGACAGACAGAGCCATGATTTTCATTTTTACATGATTTTTCAAGGTAACTTTATATATGTACATCCAGTTTCCCACACATCTGATCATCTGTATGAATTGATCCTTTCTCTATAGAATGGGACCATCTGGGTCAATATCCAAATTATCTGGAGTGAAGTTCTGTATTTGGCATAAGCAAGAACTTACTTTCTGCAAAAGATTGAGTTGCAAGAAAACAAAATTAGATCTGCTTTCTTGTCAACACTCGGTATATGTTCCTTGGACATGTATGGTGAAAAATCCTTGGAAAGACCTCAGTAAGACCTGTCTTTCCCTACTCTATTAGTCTTCTCCCCAAAGGATTTAATTTCCATGAGAAAAAGGAAATTTTTGTTGAAACATCTTGCCTTTCAGATCTGGATATAAAATCTGAACCCTTCAGAACAGTTTCTGGCTTAATGAGAAACCTAACAAGCTTTAAAAAATTTTACTCGGTAGAAGTTAGTTGAAGAAGATGCAATGTAAAATGAAGTTCTATGGGAGAAAATGTTTCTAATTAGGGCCATGCCAAGTAATATCAGAAGGCTTTGTTTTAATAGGTATTAAGTGATATGATCAAGTTCAACATGAGGTAGGGTAAAATGAAAAGGTGTTTCTCTTCTGTGTGGAAGTGTTTATAATGTTTGGACATGGTTACTGCTGACTCTTGGAAAACTTAAATTTTCAGATTAATGTTTATAAGAAAATAATTTCTGAAACTGTATGTGTGAGTATTAACAAGAAGAGTGTAATACTTTTCTTTTAAAGTTATTAACTTGTTGTTCTTATTTCTCTTTCAGATAATCCTAGGAGAGACTCTCTCGGTCTTTTATAATAATTTACACTCAAATTCATTTGTCAGAAATAATTACATAGCCACTATTTACAAAGCCATTGGGACCTTCATTTTTGGGGCAGCTGCCAGCCAGTCGTTGACAGACATTGCCAAGTACTCCATAGGTAGACTGCGTCCTCACTTCATTGCTGTGTGCCAGCCCGACTGGACACGGATAAACTGCAGCCTGGGCTACATTGAGAACTTCACTTGCCATGGGGACAAAGCAAAAATCAATGAGGGAAGGTGAGTCTGACTAACCTTGTATACTTGGTTATATAACGTTTGTTAACCTGGGGCAATGAGTTTGGTTATGCTGCTGCAGTTTTTGTGCTTCTCCTAGAATAAATTTATTGCAATGCATTTTAAACATTAAACACTGTCTAGACCCCAGGGATTTTTTCCCATTTGTGAAAGCTGTTTTCTTTTAATGAATAGATAAATGTTTGTGTGTGTTTCCGCTTATGGGTGATTTTCTTTTTTTTTTCCGTTTCAGTTGGCTTTTATGTTTCTAAAATGTTTGCATCCCAATGAAGAGAAGAATTTGAAATCTGCCTTAGAAATTGGATGTAGAGTAGCAAAGGAAATGTTTTAATTTTGGAATGAAAACAAATGAAAACTGCACATCCATAAATATACACAGTACTATTAAAATCACTCTATTAATCTTTCTCATTAGTGAGAATTTTTAAATCTTGAATACTTGTCTGCCAGTTCAGTTGCAACAAGGTACTGTGGAAACAAGAATAAAGCCTCTGATACTTCAAATTTCAGTCATTGTACTATAACTTGTGTTTGAGTGCTACTGGAAATGTTAGAATAATTTTAATTGCTTTGAGCTTTCTGTGACCTTACCTTTACAGAGACTTCTTTTTCCAGAAGTTCTATACAGTCTTAGTCAGAACTTTGCTTTGTGTAGTTTTTAAGTAGATGTGTGTAGTTTTGCTCACTGTTCTTTGTACTCCTTTGCTCTTCTGGCTTATGTTCCTTATAATTTTCCAGTAGCATGCATGGTATTTTTCAGTAGCCATAGAAAAATGTTGATGAAATGTGAATAGGTGTTGGTGGTAGAGGAGCAAGTGTATGGATAGGCAGTAGAATAGTGTGCTGGGTATATGTGGCAGCTGATACAGGGGTGGTTTCTTTGAAAAGCTGCTATGTCACGCAGAACCAGTGCCAGCCAGCTCCAAGTCTCTAGTTTAACTTCATGAGTCTAAAATGCTTCTTAACTGTAAAGAGGGCTGTTGAGAAAATTCAAATTGGTTGTAGCGACTGAAATGGTCCTAAAATAATCTTTTTGGGTTTTGGGGATGCTAAAAAACAAGGATTAGCTTATACTTAAACAAAAAAATATTTTTGGGGGGTATGAGAATAGAATGGGGGAACAATGGCATAGTGATTGCTTATCTTGTATTCTTCTCTGTATTTTGACATCTCAGACTTCTATATTGGAAGCAAGATTGTTTTTGTCATCTCTTAACTGATCGGCTATTAGGTTTGTATTTCCAGCTACTGTCATGTTCCCTTTTCTATTGCTACTGTTTCCCCTATAGAGTGATGTGAGAGGGCTCTCCTGTTTGGTCAGAGCTTGCCTTGAAGTGTGTAGTTGCTTGTGGGGCTTTTGCTATCAGGTGAGGCTTTTGCATGCACAGGAAGGAGTAAACACAAAGTTAGCAAGTAGTCAAAGAAGGGTAGGATTGATTAAAGTGGGACATTGTCCTGTAGAGGTGTATGACCTGGATGCGGTGATCCAGTAAATCTTTCAGTGTTTCTAGTGATGTTGGGTCATGTGCCCACACAGAGACCAAGTGCCGAAGGGCATTAACCTTTCAGTTAATAGCCCACTTAGAAGGGGGGGGTGGATTGCTGAGAGTTTTTTACAGGAAGCTGGAAGAGCTCAGTAGTGTCTAAAGCTGTAACTGAGAGATGAATTTCTGTATCAGTTGACAAAATTATTAGTGGCACACCTAGTACCATCCACTTTCATTTGCATAGATTGAATAGGCAGGTAGAAATCTAAAGGAAGAATGAAAACAGGACAATCATAGTGTTGAATGTAGAATCATAAGATCTGAATTGAACCTATTATTCCTCTATAGTAGTAAAACCTGAGGTGGCATTTGAATGTTTTTAAAGATTCATGCTCAATTGTACAGTCAAAAAGACAAACCTAATATTTTATGATGTCATTGAAAACAATGAAAACAGTGTAAAAATCCATTGTGTGCTTCCATTGTTCATATTGTATTTTCTGATTGTCTCCTCCCTTCTCATTTCTTCTTATGATTTTTAACTAATCAAAAGTATAGAATAGTTTTGGTATGGAGCATCGCTGAGTAGATCACATATCTTGTTCTGAGATAGAATAAGTGTGTGTGTGTGTTGAAGAGATGGGTGTAAGATGGAAGATTCTGTACTTCGGAAATGGTACAGAACTTAGGTAATCAATCAGTGTTTCCATTTCCTCCTTACCAGTAAAACTGGAAGGAGAAATATTTGGAGTAATACATTTTTTCCACACGAAGATTAAGGATTATGCTGTGTAAGTTCTTTATAGTGCTGGGATGTGTAAGTTTGGTTCAAAGTGGGGTCAAAACACCACTTGCAGGAACTTCTAAAAGACTAACCTCAAGAAAACAGCCTGTGTTTCTGGAAGCCCATGAGTTTTACGGTCAGAGGCTGAGAATGTTTTAGACAAACATATTGCAAATGATGTTCCAGTACTGTTTTATGTAAATCGGATGTTTCTAACTCTTTGCATATAGCTGCAATATTATAACATGGGGGCGTAAGAGAAAAACAGTAATTAGGTTTTATTCGGTGGAAACAACGGTATTACAATACATGCTTGCTTTATCAGGAGTATAAACCAGTGGATTTAGGATTGATTGTCTAAATGAGTAAAGTGCCCATAAGTTACAGTTAGTTTTAGTGTTGTTTCACTTCATAACCTGAGGTTAATAAGGCTGACTGAAGCATCTTGTTTGCTATACATCATGCTGAAAGCAGTCTTTTTCAGGTTTAAATACCTTAGGTTCTCCTTGACAACTTTTGTAGTATGTATGCACTTTGATTACTGCTGCTGGCTCAGCAAAGCAGAGGATCACAAACACAGTGGTGTGCTTAGTAAATCTGATTCATGTTTGTTGACAGATAGCATGTAAGAGTTAGCATATTATGCATCCAAATTTGTAGCACTTAAAGATCTTTAAAAAAGGCATGGAAATCACTGGTTATATAAAAAAATTCTGATTAAACATTAACATGTATTTTTTTTCTAGTTTTGCCTCTTTGTAAGGCAATCCTTTCTTCAGGTGGTGTTTGGCATTTAATTTAAGCTAGACACAGAAGCTTGCAATGAGCTACTCAATGGCACTTTCCTGAGGTAAATGACTTGTACAGAGGTGCTATCTCAAACTTTTACTGCTAGGTTTGATGTCAGCTAGTTTTGTGTAGAACTGTGTAGTATTCCCTCTAAATAAATATTAGGAGTAGTAATTCAAAGGTGCCTGGCATGTCTTGTTTTAGTTACAGAAAAGTAAATTTGATATAGAAGCACAAGTTTTAGTGTCTATCAATGAAGAGAGATCAAAGTCATGGTGTTCTGTTGTCACTGGAGTTTGCAATTAGCATGTTACTTTTAGTGTACTGGTATATACTTTAATGCTGCAGAATTGCCTTTAAGTTACTTTGCTTAGCACCTATAAAGATAATGATTAGTCAATTGGCTCTTTTCCCTTTCAAACAGGCAAAAAAGGGCTCAGTAAAATAGGTAGGTGTGCCAGGCTATAACCTGGAAAAGTGGGGGTGTGAATGAGCAGTGTTTACTAGTCTCTAATCTCTTTGGCTTTTGCAGCTTCCATTTTTGCTCATCTTCCTTTTCTTCTGGCTTTCCACTGCATGCCTTTGCCTGGCTTTGAGTAGATTAGCAAAATAACCACATTTCTCAAGAAGCAGGCAGATAGGACACACTGCATTATACATTATACACAATACATCGTTATTGGTAGCTAAGGCATATTTCCCAAACCTGTCTGCTCTAACCAGTCCATGGCAGATTATTTAAACATCCTGTTTGTTAGCTTTCCTGCATCCAAAAGACCTAACAGAAACTGCAGGTGTTCAGCAGCAGTTCTGAATTTGTATTCCAGTGTTCCTTTGGTGAGTATACTTCGCTGTAGTTGCTGGTTGTCTGAAATGAGTGTGCAAACAGTGAGGCTTGAGAGTGTAGTAGAGTAACAAAGGAGAACATCGAGAGCCGCTCTTTTCCTCTACCATGGGAACACTTGATTGCTCTGGAATACTTATTTTTTAGCATCTGGCAGAGGGAATAAAAGTCAACTTTATAAGGTATTTGTTCAGTTAAGCTGAAATATATTGTGCTTCAAGATTTCAAGACAGAGATAGTGTGCCCTCTGACACTATCATTGGGGTGTACTGAACCATGATGTGGCAATATTAGCTGGTGGCTCCCAACTCATTTTGCCAGTCAGGAATTGCTAATTCAAAATTGGTTGCCTTTGTGGAGATAAGCATTTGTGATCTCTAGGAAGTAGGATCTGGAATCCAGCGGACACACTTAACCATGTGAACCTAGACCTGGTAAAGGTCAGTGTTAGTTGTCATCTTAAGCAAAGAATGAGAAAAGAGTATTTTCTCTTGGTTGTAAAATTGAATCTCAAAAGAGAAAATGTATTAAGTTAGGTTAAAAATCTTAAATAAAGGTTCTGTCAATATTTTTTTTTGAGGCAGTTGACTTAGTAATGACGGTAGGTGTTTCTCTTCAGTTTTATTAAGTTTTTTCTACAATAAATAAAAACTAAAACAAAATCAAACATAACTCCCTAAGCCTTCCCAGCAAAAAAAGAAAATAGTCAAAACTGAACAAAAACTCTACAAAATCAATAAAGAATTCCCAAACCAAACTTCTGGTATTGACAAGTTGTATGTGAATTTTATAAACTTGGCAGCACAAACTGCACATTAAAGCCTTATGTAAAGGCCAGGTGTATAGAATCTGATACTATTTAAACTTACGTTTTATCCACAAAATGTTAAAAATAAGTGTTGTGGCATGAAGTGTGCTGTACTCTTACGCAGTAAGAGTCTTTCACAGGGATGATAATATACTAGGGTGTAATAACGTGCTAGTTAGTGCTCATGCACATGATGCCTCCCTAGAACTTGGAAGCTTTGAAGCGTGCTTCTTTTAATTTTCTTGTTTTGAAATAATTTCCTGCAGTAAT